ATTTATTATTATTATTATTATTTCGCTCCAATTATTGGAACCAAAACTATAGACTTAGAGATCGACCGATATTAATTGAAGATATGATCTTGAAATTTAAATTCATAATTTATTGATGGGATCAGTTCTTTTTTAGATCTTAGAATTCGATTTCTTAAATGGTAAAATAGGAAAATGGGAAGAGGTCTCTAAATTTAGGTCTTCTTTTATTTGAAAATGATATTTCACTTTGGGAAAAAATAAAATTTTATAATTTATTTATATGAAATAATTTAAAAAATTATTAGGTTAATTATTAACGGTTAATTTATTAATTTTGTTTTATTTATAAATATACGATATGATTTTTAGAAAATTATTTTTAGATGAATATATAATGAGTTCGTATTGAATCGGAATATATATATATATATATGATATAAAATTATTATTATATTCTTCTTTTTTGATTAGATATGATTTAGTCTTACTATTTAAAAATATTTTATAATTAAAATTAAGATCAGGAAAAAAATTAAGAATTAATAAATAATATTTTTTTTTCTATTAAAGAAATATATATATGATAATTATCGAATAATTATTTATTTCTCGAAATAATATTTTCTATTGAAGATTAATTAATATTTATATATGGTTATGCTCGTGCCCCCCCCTCTTTGGTGTTATGGAGTTTCTATTTTTAGATAAGATTTAGATGAGGAAGAAGAGCTCTTTTATCCTTCTTATAGAGTCCCTTCCCTGCTGCAGAATAGGATTGGATTTCTTTTTCTTTTATCTCTGGAAATGGGCGTGCTATTCTATTATGAAAAGGATATAATGATATAAATTTAAATTCTAATGGATTATATCGACATAATTATTAATAGGAGGATTATGAACGTATGATTCTGATATGAATTTATATATATATAATTCGAAATTTATTTTTATATACTCTTATATATATGGCCTATTATGATTCGATATAGATAAAGAAGAAAGTACGTATATATATATATAATTAGGTGCGCCCGACCCCCCCCCCCCCATGAAATGGTCTGGTAGGGGTGGGGGTTGGCGTGGGCGGAAAGGGGTGGGGGCGGATGGATGGGAGGGGAGCAGGCGTCGTAGAGAGGGCCGGGTCAAGCCGGGATCTTACGCAAGCCATTAATTATATAAGATAGGGAAATTCCTATTTCTATAAATTTATTCTGAATATAATAGCTACGACCTTATACCCAACATAAACCTCCATGGAGCGCCTGATCATATATAAATCATGATAATTCTACGCACACTCTCATGCCCTCGTGATTCTCCATCCACATATGAGATCTAGATAGGGAAGGAGAATCCCCATCAATCCTATAGAATAGGATTAGATTTCTTTTTCTTCTTCTGGACCCGTATGAGCTGACCTATTAAAGATATATATTATAATTATAGAAATTTTATTTCTATTAGATTAGATAGATATTATTATATATGATCCTACGAATATATGATCTCCATATATATATATATATATTCAAATAATCATATATATATATATCTTATTCATATGCACTTATATATATATGATCTAATATAAATATATATATAGCTCCCCCTGCGGAATAGGACGGTATTTCTTTTTCTTCTATTTTTATAACTATACGAGCTGAATTATTAAGGGAAAGATATAATTGTATAACCTTCGATTCTAATAGATCATATGACGAATCATATATAAATTCATTCATATATGGATCATAGATGACAAATATCCATTGATACGGATATGGACCGCTTATACTCCGCCTTGCTTCTGGGGAACAGGTGCTGTTCTCTTTTCGTATGTGCTGTCCTGGTAAGGAAGTGCTGTATGTCCTTGTCCCCGTGTGAGGGTGCTGCCTCGTGGTATGTGGCTCTTCTCCGTTTGCCCCACCCATCGGACCTGGTGTGTGCCACGAACGGGACAGCCCGCTTCCGCGGTTCTGTGCTTCGGCATTGTGTGCTCCAGGGTGGGTCCGGGATAACCTCTCCGGACTTCCAGGCTGCGCGGTACACGTTAGTGTATTTTTTTCTGCCGCAAGCCTTTGCAACGGCCGCCGAAAGCCAACAGCTTCTCGCGCGCAGACATGCCGCGGCAGTTGTTGGCGAACGCACAGTCGTCCTCGAACTCCTCGTAGAACAAAACCACGTCCTTGCTGTCGCTCTTGTCGTCGGTCAGGGTCGGCCACGTCAGGTCCGTTTTGACCGCCCCGCACCCCGCACCCCACACCCCGCACCCGCACCCGCACCCCGCACCCCGCACCCCGCACCCCGCACCCCGCACCCTGCACCCCGCACCCCCCACCCCACCCCTCCCCACCCCAATTGGTTGGGCAATCTTTGCAACGACAGAGCACAGCACATCTCCGAGCGAGGACAAGGGGTGCAGCGTATTCTTGTGTGGGAGTGAAGTTGGGATTCGTCGTGTGAGTTTAGAACACGTACGTTCCATTGGCAACATCAACTACATCTGTTATTTCTTGGTGGGTTGAGCGATGCCTCAAGACCAAATCCCCGCGCATTTACCGTTGCATATATTTTTACTTATGTAAAAGCTGGTTCATATGTTACATTTTAAATGTGATGATCGTATTATCATTATTATTATTATTACTCTTATTGTGATGTAGCATGTTTCAATGTATCATATCATCTTGTTTTTGTATTATATTTTGGCTGTCCGCACACGATTTTGTTGTGTAGGCTAGAATACTCTCCTCCTTCATATCATACTGCTTCGAAGCCCAAATGTGCGCAATCAAAGCACTCATAAGACAGCGTACCAACACCCGTGATTTACGGGGAGTTGAGAGTCTTGTGAATCTTGGTAAGGCCCCGGAGCTGTCTACAGTAATCAAAAGACGCCCAAGAACAAGGTTGAGGGGCAGTGTACTCCAAGTGTGGAAGGGCTCCCCCACGCACCCCACACGCACCGTCCCGCACCCCCTTGCACCCCTTCTCTTTTGCCCGCACCCAAAAAATATATCCTCCGTTAGTTTCTCCAGCGCAGGCATGCGAGCATTTCCGTTACAAGAACATCTTGCAAAAACCTGGGGCAACGAAGCTATAGATTGCAGTGGGAAGCAGCCAGGATTGGGACCCAGGCGAGCCTGGGCCAAATGAGGAAAACTTGAGACCCCTGGGCACCACAACCAGTTCGAATAGTTTCCGCCACAAGCATGGCTGCAGTAGTCTGTGATTGAACAGTTTTTCCTTGACAAACAAGCCAAAACATGCGGTAAACTGTTGCATCACATGGAATGAGTCATCATGTTGATCAGCTAGGGTTGACGTCCTGCTCCTACACAGACCAAAACCATACTCTGCACTTCTGCAGGCAACCAGCTTTGTTGGAACTCGTCGCAGTGTATTTATTCCCGAAGCAATGGACAAAGATGGGAGGTCATCCCCATCTCGTTGAATGGTCTATCAAGCAGCAGGAAAAATTGAGTAAAAGAGCCTAGCCAGCAGGTGCTGAGCTGCGGCACGGCCATGCAAGGTACAGCAGCTGCTGAGCAGCACAGGGGATCGGTTATTTACGATGTTGGGATTTGTGTCCAGGGTCGTTGACTCGTTGACTGCTTAACTTCAGGTTCGACGTGTTCCGATTGGCTCAGAAGATGGATGGATGACCCTATTTCTCGTGCCACATGTTCAGTGATACATGCCGCCTGGTCCATAGTGGCTTTAACTCAATGCTCCGGAAAAATGGACCTGATGTCGTATTTTCGGTGTTTCTACAAACTTGAGTGCTCGGGTATTGGAAGGTATGTGTATCCAACGAAAAAGCATGGGGTCATGAAGGCCGTTAGGACACCAGGCCCCAACCAAGATTCTTTTCAAGCTGTGCCGATTGACGAGGAAGCGCTGCTGGCGGAGCAATGGCACGAGGCGCAAAAGCGCGCCTCAGCTGCGAGTCCGGAAACTGAAGCTCTTAGAGTTCAACTGTTTGAAGGGTCGACGATAGTTTTTGGGGCAGTGGCCAGTTCAGAATGGCCCAAAGCCATTGGGAAACAGCAAAGCCACCTTGGTGGTCAACTGCCTTTTGCCACCAAAGAAGCAAGAAAAGTGGAGTGGCATAAGCTCATGCCAGCAGAGGTCAGTGTTACACAACCATTGTGTTATTCGTAGTATTTAGGGGGCCGACCTGTATAGGATCGGTGTGATAGTCGGAGCCTGAGATCTCCGAAAAAACCCATTCAAGCTGGATAGCGACCAGATAGGTTCAAAGTCTGGCACCGACCAATGTTACCCAAGCCTTCTGCAAAAAGCAGTTAGCTTCTGGTAGTTTTTCAATCAGCAGTTTCGTGTCCTGGCACGGGCTGCATACCATTGAAATTGGTCTAGTACCTTCAACTTGAATCCCTTCCAGATAGCCCATAAGCCCTTCGGCCTTGAACGCAACATCCTGCGAGCGGAAAGGTATCTGTGACATGCCAAGTCAATGCAATGCACTCTTGTGCAAAGACGACCTGAAGGCCTCCAGTTGCCAGAGTGTGCCAGAGGCGCTTTTGGTTTCTTTCGACTTTAAGATCCAGTGTTCTTACCACGTTGGGCAATTTTGTTGCTCCCGCACTAGGGGACTGGGCTTGACGAGGCTTTCGAGAAGGGTCTGGACTTTGGAATGCCTGATTTGTGCTAACGTCTGGGGCAGCATGGCTGATGGAAGGCCTTTCCGAACCTTAAATCCGAACCCTGCGCATTAGGTTCTTGAGCTGGCTGCTGTAGATTGGGCATCCTGCATTTCAATACGGTCATAAAGTGAAACGGTGTCGTAATGGGTTTTTTTCTTGGAAAATCGAAAAGGTGTTCTCTCTGAATGGACGTTCGTCAGCGTCGGATTTACCTTGTTGCGCATGTCCTTCGTACTATGAGGAGGCCTCGCCTGCATCGTGCCGGTTCAAAACATGCAAAGTTCGCAACATGTTACGTCTTGATGGGCCCAAAGGCTCACACTTCCCGACCAGGCCTCATGTCAACCCCAGGCTCTGCAATCCGTTCTCTCTGGATGGCAGCCGGGCAACGAACTGCGGGATGCACTTCAAGCGGTGGGCAAGAAACTCGAGGTGTGCCCACACAGAGTCTGAATAAACTGTAGTTCAAGTGCACGGCTGTGTCTGACTGCTACACCTCTGCCATCTCCATGATACCTATATATATATATATGTATATGTATATATATATATATATATGAATGTAGGATGTCTTGGTACTTATGTCACGAGTTGTCATGTGCTCGCACATCGTGCAATCGTTGTACTGTAGTGGCAGTCAAGAAGTTTGTGATCTGTTCGGGGTTGGTGAGCCAGCTACGTAGTTTGTTAGTGAGCTACTAGGTGGGTGAGTACGCAAGCGAGTGAGTGATTGAGGTAATTAGCCGATTTTGCATAGAAAATTCGCTGATCAGTTGCTAGTAGCCAACTAGCCGGCCTGTCAGCTAGCTAGCCAGCTTGCCAGCTAGTTAGCTAGTTAGCTACTTTTCCAGTTTAGCGAGTCAGAAGCTATCCCACTCAACCACCAGCACCCGGAAAGAGGTGTATGGCTACCATGAGAATAGGAGAAACCATCTGCTTCGTTCACTTCCTGTTGCCAGGTGCTTATCCTACAAAGCTACGAGGGGTTTGCTTCCACTGAAGTTACCAGCAACCCCAAGGACGTCAGTTGTGAGCAACAGTTGCGAAAGAGAGCTGGCTAGCTAGATAAGTAACTGACTGAGTGCAAATCAACAGCTAAGCGACAAAGTATCACATTGAATACCGGTGCTTACACTTTGCTCACACTGCTGCAGGGAATCCATTTCGAAGCTAGGTGGCTGGCATTCTTTTTGCGGCTTGCGCTGCTAAGTTTGGTTTAGAAGTGGATTGCCGCAGTTCGAGGGGGTTCGTAATGAGGCGATCCCAAAATTCGAACTTCAGAATGGCCAGGCAGCAACCGAAACCGCAGACGAAGCGTTGAAAGACGTGCTTTTCGATTTGGCGGTGGCTGGACAGCAATGGTCCCTACACTTTAAAACTGCCTTGAAGCGAAGTTAGGTCGGCCTCACTGTAACACGATGGCAGGAAGCTGTCTTCCTCCGAGCTGAAAAGAAGAGTTGTGCGTGGTAGCAAATTCAGCATGTTTCCTGTCACAACATCTGGAATGATCATGTGCAACGAAGGCTGTGGTAACACAGGAGGTTGCACCAGCTATTGAAGTGGTTACCCCAGCATGTCATCATCGAGGCAGCGTTGCATGCCGGATCTCGACTTTTCATCTCTCAGCCTGCCGCAAACAGCCGCTCGGTCGAAAGAACAGCATCCAATGTTTGCAGTCAACTTTGCGAATGCAACGAGATCTCTCTGGATCCTCAACTTTGAGAAGGTTCATCGAGTAGAATACGCCACGCGGAAACCTTGCATGACCCTTGCAGTTGCATTTCCAAAGTGAATTTGAACCTCCATGGAAGCCTGAACATATCTCGCCGAGGGCCTGCTGTCAATGACAACCAGCAATCCCTCTTTCAGCAGATCGAACGATCCGTTTCGCGGGTCCCAGTCAAGGAGCAGCAGGTCCCGCGGACGGTTGTTCTTGCTAGCCCTGAACCATGCTACTTCCACCTCTACCTCTACCTGCACGTCTACCTCTACCTTGCTACCCATACTACTAATACTACTACTACTACTACTATTACTACTACTACTACTACTCCTACTACTACGACTAGTACTACTACTACTACTACTACTACTACTACTTTTACTACTGATACTACTACTGATACTACTACTGATACTACTACTGATACTACTATTGATACTACTACTGATACTACTACTAATACTACTACCACTACTACTACTACTACTACTACTACTACTACTACTAATTACTACTACTAATTACTACTACGAATTACTACTACTAATTACTTCTACTACTTACTACTTACTACTACTACTACTACTACTACTACTGCTACTACTACTACTACTACTACTACTACTACTACTACCTACCAACTACACTTCGTCGTTGTCATCAACATCATCACCACCAACATGACGAACAAGCAAACACATTTCATCACCAACATCACGAACATCAAACACATTCATCACCTTTCATCACCAACATCACCAAAAGTATTGTAAACACCGAGTAAAAGCGGGGTTGTGAGCTCACAAAAAATCCAACACATTTCATCACCAACATCACCAAAAAGCAAACACATGTCATCACCAACAGCACAAACAATCAAGCACGTTTCGTCACCTTTCATCACCTTCCTTTCATCACCAACATCACCAACAGTACTGTAAATACTGAGTAAAAGCGGGGTTGTGTGCGAATGTACTGTAAATACCGAGGAACAATTTTCCCCCACCCGATTTCGAGTTTTCGCTGCAGGCCGTTCGAGACCCCAAAGTTTAAGACCCACAGTCCAGAAGTAGGGGTTGCAACTATATCAGAAAGTACGACGTCACGAAAGTACTGTACATTGCGAGTAAAACGGCTCTTGTGGTGATATTGTTGGTTGTGTTTGCGTAACACTGTCGTACTGTCGTCATCATCCCCCCCCACCCCCCCAGCTCCCCCCCCGGAAGCAAGTCCATAATCAAGAGGCCGAGCTTGCAAACTCGGCAAGTCGATTTTGATGCTTCTTATGATGATCGTACATGACGAAAGTGCTGGAAATACCGAGCAAAGCGGATGTGCTCTTAAGATGGTTCAGAGCAAGTGTAGTTGGTAGGGGGGGCGCGTACTACTACTACTACTACTACTACTACTACTACTATTACTACTATTACTACTACTACTACTACTACTACTACTAAATACTATTACTAATTACTACTACGAATTACTACTACTA